TGACAATTTCGTCTCTAATACTACTAATTTTTTCGTGGAAATTTCAATAATATCATATAATTTTTACATCATATCATAAACTAGAATCACTAAGCTACAATTTAACGAAATCCTATCAAGATTCTTAAAAATATAGTCGATATGATTTGTCGAAAATTTCTCGTAATTCTTGACAACTTCATCTTTAATAATTTTTTTCCGGAAATTTCAATAATATTATCTTATAATTTTTACATCATATCATAAACTAGAATCATTAAGCTACAATCTAATATACATATCATATCAAGATTTTTAAAAATATTGTCGATATGATTTTTTGAAAATTTCACGTAATTTTTGACAATTTGGTCTCTAATACTACTAATTTTTTCGTGGAAATTTCAATAATATCATATAACTTTTACATGATATCATAAACTAGAATCATTAAGCTACAATTTAACATACATATCATATCAAGATTCTTAAAAATACGGTCGATATGATTTTTTGAAAATTTGCCGTTATTTTTGGTTTATAAATTTGATAATTTCTATAATATTACCTTTTAATTTTTACATCATATCATAAACTAGAATCATTAAGCTACAATTTAACATACATATCATATCAAGATTCTTAAAAATACAGACGATATGATTTTTGAAAATTTCGTGTTATTTTTGATTTATAAATTTGACAATTTCTTTTTTAATAATCTTTTCCTGGAAACTTTAATAATATTATCTTATAACTTTTACATCATATCATAAACTAGAATCATTAAGCTACAATTTAACATACATATCATATCAAGATTCTTAAAAATATAGTCGATATGATTTTTTGAAAATTTCTCGTAATTTTTGACAACTTCATCTTTAATAATTCTTTTTTGGAAATTTCAATAATATTATCTTATAATTTTTACATCATATCATAAACTAGAATCATTAAGCAACAATTTAACATACATATCATATCAAGATTTTTTAAAATATTGTCGATATGATTTTTTGAACATTTCTCTTAATTTTTGACAATTTCGTCTCTAATACTACTAATTTTTTCGTGGAAATTTCAATAATATTATATAATTTTTACATCATATCATAAACTAGAATCATTAAGCTACAATTTAACATACATATCCTATCAAGATTCTTAAAAATATAGTCGATATGATGTTTTGAAAATTTCTCGTAATTTTTGACAACTTTATCTTTAATAATTTTTTTCTGGAAATTTCAATAATATTATCTTATAATTTTTACATCATATCATAAACTAGAATCATTAAGCTACAATTTAACATACATATCATATCAAGATTTTTTTAAAATATTGTCGATATGATTTTATGAAAATTTCTCATAATTTTTGACAATTTCGTCTCTAATATTATTAATTTTTTCCTGGAAGTTTCAATAATATTACCTTATAATTTTTACATCATATCATAAACTATAATCATTAAGTTACAATTTAACATCCATATCATATCAAGATTCTTAAAAATACAAATAGTATGATATTTTGAAAATTTCGCATTATGTTTGATTCAAAAATTTGACAATTTCTTCTTTAATAATTTTTTCCTGAGAATTTCAGTAATATTACCTTATAATTTTTACATCATACCATAAACTAGAATCTTCAAGGTACAATTTAACATACATATCACATAAAAATTCTTAAAAATACAGTTGATATGATTTTTTTGAAATTTTGCTCTATTTTTGATTTATAAATTTAACAATTTCTTCTTTAATAATTTTTGCCTGAAAATTTCAATAATATTATCTTATAATTTTTACATCATATAATAAATTAGAATCATTAAGCTACAATTTAATATACATATCATATCAAGATTCTTAAAAATATAGTCGATATGATTTTTTGAAAATTTCTTGTTATCTTTAATAATTTTTTTCTGGAAATTTCGATAATATAATCTTATAATATTTACATCATATCATAAACTAGAATCATTAAGCTACAATTTAACACATATATCATATCAAGATTCTTCAAAATACAGTCGATATGGTTTTTTGGAAATTTCGCGTTATTTTTGATTTATAAATTTGACAATTTCTTGTTTAATTAATTTTTCCTGGAAATTTCAATAATATTATCTTATAATTTTTACATTATATCATAAACTAGAATCATTAAGCTACAATTTAACATACATATCACATAAAAATTCTTAAAAATACAGTCGATATGATTTTTTAAAAATTTTGCTCTATTTTTTATTTATAAATTTGACAATTTCTTCTTTAATATTTTTTTTTTGGAAATTTCAATAATATTATCATATAATTTTTACATCATATCATAGACTAGAATTTTTAAGCTTCAATTTAACATACATATCATATCAAGATTCTCAAAAATGCAGTCGAAATGATTTTTTTATAACTTCGCATTATTTTTGATTAAAAAATTTGACAATTTCTTCTTTAATAATTTTTTCATGGGAATTTCAATAATATTACCTTATAATTTTTACATCATATCATAAACTAGAATCATTAAGTTACAATTTAACATACATATCATATCAAGATTCTTAAAAATGCAAATAGTATAATATTTTGAAAATTTCGCATTATGTTTGATTCAAAGATTTGACAATTTCTTCTTTAATAATTTTTTTCTGACAATTTCAATAATATTACCTTATAATTTTTACATCATACCTTAAAGTAGAATCTTCAAGGTACAATTTAACATACATATCACATAAAAATTCTTAAAAATACAGTCGATATAATTTTTTAAAAATTTTGCTCTATTTTTGATTTATAAATTTGACAATTTCTTCTTTAAGAATTTTTACTGAAAATTTCAATAATATTATCATATAATTTTTACATCATATCATAAACTAGAATCTTTAAGCTTTAATTTAACATATATATCATATCATTACTTTTAAAAATATAGATGATATGATTTTTTTTTGAAAATTTGATATTTTAAATTCGTAAATTTTACAGTTTCTTCTTTAATAATTTTTTTTTGGAAATTTTATTAATATTATCATATAATTTCTATATCGTATCATAAACGAGAATCTTTAAGCTTCAATATAACATAAAAATCATATCATTACCTTTAAAAATGCAAATGATATATTTTTTTGAAAATTTAATATTTTATATTTTTGCAAATTTGACAGTTTCCTCTTTAACAATTTTTTCTGAAAATTTTATTAATGTCATCATATAATTTTTACATCATTTCATAAACTAGAATCTTTAAGCTTTAATTTAACATATATATCATATCATTATCATTAAAAATACAGATGATATAATTTTTTTAAAAATATGATATTATTTTATATTTGCAAATTTGAAGAACGGATGAAATCTTGGATTGATCACAACAATATATATAATATAATATATACAGGGTGTTTCAGGTTTTTGTAGCAGGACTTTAACACTCGATGGATCTTTTAAAATAAACTTCATATAAACACAAGTCGACTTTGTTTTGAAGATACAGGGTGTTTAATTTAAATTTTTAAATTGATTATTTAATTTAATATTACACGTGTATTTCAACCGATTCTATTCAAATTCGGTATGTAGAGGCTCTTTGTCATGACAAAGACGATTATGTCTTAATAATTAAAATAACCATAACTTTTTGGCTAAAAACGTACAAAGAATAAGAATCGAAACCTGAAACAGCCTGTATATATATATATATATATATATATTTTGAAATACGATTTTTTTTAAATTGTTAAAAATCCTAAAACAATTTTTTTTTTCAAATTGTCATTACAGATAATTTTTCAACAGGCAAAGAGATTGCATCTTACGGTGGTCGTCAAGAGACGGGTCCTCGCGAAGCCGATTTCAACGACGAAAGAATCGCTCACATCCTAAACGAAGCTTCGCAAATCCACGGCTCAAAACATAACCTCCAAACCACCGAAGACACGCACAGCAACGAAGACTCGAAATCGCCGCAAGGATGTTCGAGCCCCTTCTCGAAGGACTCGTCACAAAACCGAAAACTAAAAAAATACGAAAACGACGATATCTCCCAAGAGAAAGTCGCGCGAATTTACCAAGAAGAGATGGCCAAATTGATNATCAAGATTCTTAAAAATATAATCGATATGATTTTTTGAAAATTTCTCGTCATTTTTGACAACTTCATCTTTAATAATTTTTTCCTGGAAATTTCAATAATATTATCTTATAACTTTTACATCATATCATAAACTAGAATCATTAAGCTATAATTTAACATACATATCATATAAAGATTCTTAAGAACACGGTCGATATGATTTTTTTAAAACTTCGCATTATTTTTGATTTATAAATTTAACAATTTCTTCTTTAATAATTTTTGCCTGAAAATTTCAATAATATTATCTTATAATTTTTACATCATATAATAAATTAGAATCATTAAGCTACAATTTAACATACATATCATATCAAGATTCTTAAAAATATAGTCGATATGATTTTTTGAAAATATCTCGTAATTTTTGACAATTTCGTATAACAAACTTTTCCTGGAAATTTCAATAATATTATCTTATAATTTTTACATCATATAATAAACTAGAATCATTAAGCTACAATTTAACATATACATCATATCAAAATTCTCAAAAATATAGTCGATATGATTTTTTGAAAATTTTTCGTAATTTCTTGTGTAATAGTTTTTTCCTGGAAATTGCAACACATAGCTAGTACTGGAGTAAGACACGACAGATACTCTACTTTGCCGATCTTGAAGCAGTAAAGTTGGTTGCGCGCAATTTATAAAATCGGATTAATTATATATAATTTTTAGATACAAAAATCGTTATAATTATAATTAGTAATGAAGCAACAATTAATAACAACTTAGCTCCAACATTTTATTCGAGTCGCATTGAAAGGTGGCTCTTTACCAGGTCTTGCGGCCTCTACTACCCAAGACAAGACAAATCGAAGGTCAATGACCATAGGTTAAGTTAATTCAGGACACGCTGGTTCAACCAAACGTTCCCATATTCACGGTTAGGACGGTGTAAAGATTTAACCGTTGCCCGGTTCACTTTTTCCTAAACCGTTTTAGTCGTTCGGCAAACTTCTCGAATTTAAAGTCGAAGTTTAAAGATTCGATTCATTCGTAACGTTGAGGTCCACCTTAAACGTTCTTGTAGAACCTTTAACTCGTCTATGTTAAATTTAAGTTGAAAAAGGTGAGAAAAGGAGGAAAATAGTGTACGTTTGTGATTGTGCTTGGTCTGTTGACCGAACCGTGTGTTGCATTAAATAACTGTATCTTGTAGAAGCATCACCATTGGTCGACTTATCCATCGAGAACCTTGAAACGCCAACGGTAAATGATAGCGGACACCCGGAGGATCATTTCTATATTGTACGGTCGCTCAATATTCATTCATATGAATATAGTGGGACCTTCGTTGGCGTTACAGATGTCTTCGCAGTGCTTTTAGTGGGACATTCCAGACGATATGCTCGCGAAAGGGCTAATCGTTACTGTTCTGTTATGTGCCATCGATATTCCGAGGGCACGTGGCCAAGACGACTCTTTACCGGGAAACTTCCTCGCTGGTATGTTCTTGATATTTTAAACATTTATAATCCTCTCGACCAGTTCCACTTTTTCACATCTCTTCAGCAATTAAAAAAGGAAAAAAGGACGAGTAGCGGCACGTGCGTGACACTAACACGAAAAAACGGAGCTAAATGGATTTCAAACTTTCGTCGTTTCAAATTTTAAGTCAATAACTTTATTAAGCAAATTCATTTGAAATTCTTATTTGGGTCAAATGAGTTTTTTTCAACTCTCGCTACAAAACGTAATAAATAATTATTTTCTAGGTCTTCTTGAACAATTAACAAGCACAGCGAATTCCAAAGACTGTCCGGGTGTGTGCGTGCACTCTTTCGCGACATTAATATGCAACGATGTAATCGAAAACACGCAATGTCCGGGTTCAACAAAATGTTGCATCGAACAACCCGTAAACGCAACGGAAACCGCCACCATGACCATCTCGACAACCTCTAAAACATCCACCACAGAAAGACCCACCTCCGTTCTTACAACAACAACAACCACTACGACCACACAAAAACCTCCAACTACGTCTATAGCGAAGACCCAAAGACCTAAAGACGATAACGATACTAGTATGTTATTTAAAAAACATGTTTGTTTTAAACAAAAAAATTTGTTGCAGCAAAAAAATGTACAGAAAAACAAGGAGTTTGCGTAACAAAATCGATGGCAGATTATTGCGAAGCGATAATAACAACGGAAGATTTGTGCAGTTCAGAAGCAAAATGTTGCGTTTCTTTGGACACCCTCAAAAATCAAATTCCACCAAACGTAATCGTCCCAAACAAAACAAGAACAAGCAGCATACCCGTTGAAGACACAACAACCACCATCAAAATAACAACATCAACCACCGAACCAATTCACAAATACAAAACACAACCCATCACGAATCACTTGCCAAAACCATCATTTAAACCAAAACCACCCAAAAAGCAATGCAAAGGGGAATGCGTCAGTGCCTTTTTATCGTTATTATGCGACGAAGTTGATTTAACAGCTGAGTGTCCCGACGAGGGAAGTTGTTGCATGACTTCATTTGTAAGTAAAATTAAAAAAAAAATCTTAACTCAACTAACACATTAACAGCTTGAAGAAAATCATTACCAAGAAAAACCAACACCACCAACAACCACATTAATACCAAAAGTAACCGATCCAAAATGTCCAGGAACGTGCCTCTTAAACGTTTTAGCAGCGTTTTGTAAACGACCAGCTTCGATAGTACCACGCACATCGTGCCAAAAAAATTACGTGTGTTGTGACAATACGAAAGTTTCAACAACCCCTAGGCCAGCACCCACACCGCCAATGCTAAAAGTGACGACGACCGTTGATCCGAGACCGGAATGTCCTGGATCGTGTATATTTACTTATTTAAGTTTTACGTGTTTCAGTAAGTTTAAGTCGAAAAATTATATAAGAAATAATTCGAGTTTTTAAGGATACGCCGAAATTACCGACATATTTAAATGTCGCGTCCCCGGGACTCAGTGTTGCGCTCAAAAATCGGCTATTAGGGACGCATCTGGTCAAAAAGGAGAAAAAATTGTTACTACAACTTCTACGTTTTCTTCTAGTACAGAAGCTACAATTTGGCAAAATGTTAATGAATCTACAACAGTTGGTAAGAAGAAGTTTTTTATGTTTACTAATATAATAGTAATAATAATTTTTATTATCCCAACGGATTACAATCCAAAATCAAGAACAAACGATCAAGAACACGGATTAGTTTGTTTATTGGAGAATTTAGCCCCACATTGTAAGTATGCAACCAATATAACAGTATAGGTATTGTAATACGCGATTTGCGATATTGGTTGCATACTTGCAATGATGACGTCGAGTACGATAATAATTAATTAACAGTGTATTACGGTCTAATACGGTCCTCAAGGCTCCGGAGGCCATATCGTTGTAGCAGATTTATATAGTTTAGTTCTCCTCTAGGTGGATCACACCCAGAATCGAGGTAGTGGATAAACCTAATGAACTTCCTCTGTACTTTCAAATTTACTCCATATAAATAAAGATCTATTATTGTTTTTAAATTCGTAAACTCCAACGTATTCCATCGGCACCAACCGATGTTCTGTCGATATGTTCATTAAAGAATAAAGTGCCATCAAACCACACTCCAAGATCTTTTATTATTGAGAGTGGTCCATTCCAAGCACATAATCGAAAAGTATGATATTACGTTTTTGACTGTCATTACCTGACATTTAAGAGTATTTAAAGCTAATTTGTTCTCAGAACACCATGAATAAAGTTTATCTAAATCTAACTGGAGTGATTCACAGTGTTGCTCAGAACTAATAGATCTAAATAGTTTCAGGTCGTCTGCGTATATTCTATATTCTATATATTATATAGATGTTTATGAATCTGTCTTGACTTTAAACTACTTAACTCGACGTATTGTCTGAGATTGGATCCATACGATACTAGCTTTTCGGCCAACAAATCATAATCTAAGCAATCAAAAGCCCGAGAAAAGTCGGTGTATCACATCCACATGCTCTCGACAGTCTAATACATTCCATACGTACTGAGTGAAGCTGAGTAGGTTGGTGGCTGTGGATCTACCTTTGCAAAACTCATGTTGTTGGTCAGATATACGGGCCTTAGTGTAAAATTCGATTTTGCGTGTTACAATCTGCTCAAAAAGCTGGGAAAAGTTATTTATGATGGCTATAGGTTGATAATCGGAGTCGACAAATTCTGCTCAATTTCCAGATTTTCGGGAATTCAGAATTTTTGATTATTAAATTGAAAATATGCTGAAGAGGCTCTAATAATACAGGCTTTGACTATATATGCGGGGATACCATCTGGACCAGTCGTAGTTTTTGCCTTAATTTTCTTAAAAGCCACCATCTCATCAAGACTTAATTCTAAGATGCCGAAAGAAACGCCATCCCATCCATCAGCAACTTGGGCACCGTTAGGACTAACTATCATTGGCCGGAAGATACATACTCTCAAAATGATCGGCGAACAAATTAATCGCAGTCTGCAGATCGGAAAAAATTTCACCATCGTGTTTGAGAATATTTGGTGAGACAGAACTATTTCTGATCTCATTAACAAATCTCCAAAAACTCATTGGGTCTTCCTTTATTTTTTGCTCCAAAGATCGTACGTATTCTTGACAGTCCTCACGCATGTTTTACAGTTCCAGCGGAGACGGACATATCTTGTTCTAGTTTTTTCTTTTGACAATTCGAGGATTTACGCTCAAACTCTTGTTGTCGTGGAGTTCGATTACCATTAATATAAACATTTTTTAAATTCACAGAGTTTCGCAGCCCGTCTTAAGACCATATCCGCTTCTGACCTATTCTCAAATACCACTTTAACAAGTCTAGGCCTTCTATAATCTATAGACCTTCGCAATGTTTGGGGATTTTCCAACAACATCCTTAAGTATGGCCAGAACCGCATCTTTGAGTATGCTATCTTCAGTTTCAGTAACATTTGAGATTATTACATTTTGCGCAATCCGCTCACGGTCATTAATTTCATTAATTATTTCATACCTTTACACGCTGTTCATCTCGTAATTCAGACAACGAATCGGATAATTGTTTCATTTGCGTCATAAGATCGTTTATGGTAGCTTTGATAGCCATTCAACAAAGCCTAACTTGGCACGATTACTCTTCAGATAATACCAAATTGATTGTCATTTGTTATATCTTATAAAGTATCTTATAGAGGTTGGTCAAAAAAAGTTTCTGGCATTCCGTGCATGTTTTGAAAAATTTCCCAATATCAGGGAAACTACAATAAATAGGTATAGGCATGTTTATGGATGATCTAGGTTAAAAAAAATATGGGTCGTTCCATTTAAAATTTTCGACTTTCTCGCCATTGAATGCGGAAAAACGGGAATTAAATTTGTGACCATCCTGTATAAGATACTGTGATACAGCAAATAACAATCTATTTGACAACATTTGAAGAGTAATCGTGCCAATTTAGAGCTTTTTTGATGAACGTTTGTTGAGATATGGAGTTTTAAAGATTATGCCAAAAGAAATTTAAAATCAAAATAACTCGAAAACGAAAAACTCACTACACCCTCTCAGCATGTGTTCCAGCACATTTCCCTTGATCATCCCTCTCCATCAACAAATACTTTGGCAGTTCCTCTTTCACTATCTTCCCATACCTTTCATTATATCTCCCTTCTCGTATCTGACACCTTCTTTCCAGCCTCTGTATGCCCCTATCTCGCAGTTCTTTCCACATTTCACCTCTTTTGTTTTCGATCCCACTCTTCTATAATATTCTTCCCTATCTCTTTGCCCATAGATCAGCCTCCTCTCCTTAATTTCCCCCCAGCACTCTCCCAGGATCCTGCAATGCGGTCTTGCTTCTATCATTAACTCGTACTTCACAGCTCTTCTCCCAGCCTCCACCCTTACTGCATCCACCTTAACCTCCTCCCTCACAATATACCCTTTTTTTTGGGGAGGGGAAAATGAGTTATGCACCCTCCTCTCTCCTCCTTCTCTTTTGTGCTGACAACTTGTCTTATGTATTTCTGTACTGCTGCCCAATTACTTTCGCTTTCCGTCATCGTCCGCACGCAGTTTTCCGGAGTCAAGCTTCTTCCCACCTTCCTCTCCATTTCAATTCGAAGGTCTTCCCACCTACTACACTGGAAGAACGTGTGTTCTACATCGTCATCCATATCGCAGTATATACATCGGTCGTCGGAGACTCTCTTATACTTGCTCACGTAATAGTTCGTCTCGCCTCAACCACACAAATCAAAAACGGGCACCAATCTCTTTGTCCATCTCGCCACATCTCTCGAACTCTCCCATTTCCATTAAAACTCTCTTTCAATGAGGTCTCTGGTCTCGCCTACGTTCTGGTCCAATCTCTTCTTGATGTATAGGTCAATCGGTGGCATATCCCCAAGTACTTACAATGCTGCATTCGACGTGGTCCTCTAGACGCTAATTTATTGTTTAGCTTTTACTACTAGTTTGGCTTTTTGTACGATATATCTGATGTGTTCACGCCATCTTACGTCTTTCCCTAGCATTACTCCCAAGTACTTGATCGCTTGTCCTGTTCTTATACTACAATTTCCACCTTTCAGTTCTAATTCAGTCTTTGTCTTCCTGCTTTTTAGTAGCACCGCTTCGGTTTTTTCCGGCGCCATTTCCAAACCCAGACCCTTCATCATGTGTGCTATGTGCTCTAACTTTAGGTGTGCGACTTCCGGAAGTTCGTCATCTTTCCATCCTGTAATGATCAAAGCTAGGTCATCCGCATACGCTATTATGTGTACTGTCGTGATCTTGGGAAATGCACACTCAAGGTCAAGCGCTGTTGTGAGATCCGACATGCCGCTGGCTAAAAGGGCTGAGCCGAGCGCCCACGAGTCAAGAGCTTCGTGTGATCTCACAACAGCGCTTGACCTTGAGTGTGCATTTCCCAAGACCACGACTGTACATTGTCTTTTCCTTCCTGCGATCTCACAACTTTGTCGAAATAAATGTTCCACAGAGTTGGACCGAGTACTGATCTCACAGATATATTCTGCCCTCTTTAGGACTTCTTTTATAGCTATTTCTGTGAATTTCCCCTGTATGAACCCATATTGATATGTAGCGAGTCCTCCCCTGCTTCCAATTCTTCCAACACTCTCGTCTAATTATTCCCTCATACAGCTTTCCGAAGCAATTTAGTAAGCACAGCGGTCTAAACTTTTTCTTTTTTGGATCACCCTTTTCTATTAACACAAGTTTTCCATCCTTCCATATCTTGGGAAATCTTTCTCTTAATGGTTGGTTATTCATTTTTGCCAGTTTTTTTGCGACGTCTTTCATCACCTGCGGTGTTATGCCATCAGGACCCGATGCTGTGACTTCTCTCTCTATTTTTGCTGGCCTTTCGATCTTCCACGTAGTATCCTCCCCTTCAGGAAAGAGTTCCTTTATTACCTCAGCTATTTTATCTTCTTCGAGGCATCCCCCAGACATCACTCTCAAGTTCATTACACAGATATCTCCATACTTTCTTTTTGGCCTTTTTAATTTCTTTTCTATATTGTCTCATTGTTTCCTTGTATTCAGTCTCCCATCTCTCTGGCTCTTGTTACAACTCGTCTACACTTATTCACTTCAACCTTCCTGGTCTTTTTTCTTTTTCCATAGGCCACGTTGCATGCTTTTGTCGTTGCCTCTGTTAGTGTTTCTGGGGTCATTCTTTATGAAGAGTTTCTTCGAATTTTTTGACGAATTCCTGCATTCTTTTCCATCTGCCCTCGCTGTTTGTTCTGCTGGGTTCTCTCTTGTGGTGCAGTCTGACGCTGAAATATATGCTTTGAGGTTTTCCTCCGCTCGCCGTTCCTCAAAAGCATTAATTTGTGTGCTCCTACAAATTGTCAGGTCTATTATGGACTCCTAACTTCCTCTTTTCCAAGTCGGCCTGTCCCCTCTATTTACCGCATACTCTGGAGTCTCCGCCTCATTCTGGATCTCTTCTCCTCCTTGCACCCGTCGCTCTCCCTCTCCCACCCCTCCCAACAATCCCATGAAGTACTCTGTGTTAATTAATTATCGTACCTTACGTCATCATTGCAAGTATGCAACCAATATCGCAAATCGCGTATTGCAATACCTATACTGTGATATTGGTTGCATACTTAACGATAATTAATTAAAGTACCTAATATCATTTTCATATAATCAGCCTCCTTTTCCTTCTTTTTCTTGCATTCTTCTTTATATTTTCTCCTTACTTCTTATTTATTATTTAATTAAATTATTTCATTATTTTTAGAAATAATTACAAAAACGCCACCACCTATTCCTCAAAAACCAGCCGTTTATAGTAAATACGTTTGCGGCGTTAAAGGAAATTCAAGAGTAGCTAGAGTGGTTGGAGGTGAAGATGGTCAACCTGGTGAATGGTGTTGGCAAGTAGCACTTATCAATTCACTTAATCAATATCTTTGCGGTGCTGCTTTAATCGGCACACAATGGGTTTTAACAGCCGCTCATTGCGTTACTAAGTAAATTAATTTTAATTAACCCAAACGCAACTTATTTATGATTTATTTATTTATTTATAGTATTGTTCGTTCGGGAGATGCAATTTATGTAAGGGTGGGTGATCACGATTTAACCCGAAAATATGGTAGCTCCGGCGCTCAAACGCTGAGAGTAGCGACGACATACATTCATCACAACCATAACAGCCAAACTTTGGACAACGACATCGCACTTTTGAAACTTCACGGCCAAGCAGAGTTAAAAGAAGGCGTTTGTTTGGTTTGTTTACCTGCGCGGGGAGTGAGTCATAAAGCAGGCAAAAGATGCACTGTAACTGGATATGGATACATGGGAGAAGGTTTTATATAAATAAGTAATAGGGTTTTTTTTTATTCTTTGTTTTATAGCGGGACCGATTCCTTTAAAAGTTCGAGAAGCTGAAATTCCGATTGTAAGCGATACTGAATGTATAAGGAAAGTAAATGCGGTGACTGAAAAGATATTTATACTTCCCGCGAGTAGCTTTTGTGCTGGTGGTGAAGAAGGTAACGATGCTTGTCAGGTTAGTTCTTTAATTTCATCATTAATAGATCCTTAATAGATATCTATCTAAAAGTGTGCCAAGATATAAATAAGCACTTAACACGTTGGCTACCATATGCATCACAAACTTTCCCATGACTTTGGTAGCCAACGTGTTAAACTAAAAAATTCGTTAAACTTAGAATATATGATTTATCTTATAAACTAACTGATTTCAATGATGTCACGCATTCAAAATTGGGATGCGATATCGATTTTTACCTCCTCAATATAACCCTTTGCGACCATTTGAAGTCTCTATTTGTGTCAAGTTGATCGATTGATTTCTTTAATCATTTTTTCATGGAAATTTCAATAATATTATCTTATAATTTTTACATCATATCATAAACTAGTGTCATTAAGCTACAATTTAACATACATATCATATCATAATTCCTAAAAACATGGTCGATATGATTTTTTGAAAAATTTGCGTCATCTTTGACTTACACATTTAACAATTTCTTCTTTAATAATTTATTTCTGGAAATTTCAATAATATTATATTACAGTTTTTATAACATATCATAAACTAGAACCTTCAAGCTACAATTTAAGATACATATCATTCTTAAAAATACAGATGATATGATTTTTTGAAAATTTCGCTTTATTTTTGATTCAAAAATTTCACAATTTCTTCTTTAATAATTTTTTCCTGGAAATTTCAATAATATTATATTATAGTTTTTATATCATATCATAAACAAGAATCCTTAAGCTTCAATTTAACATATATATCACATAAAGATTCTTAAAAATACAGATGATATGATTTTTTGAAAATTNTTCTTCTTTAATAATTTTTGCCTGAAAATTTCAATAATATTATCTTATAATTTTTACATCATATAATAAATTAGAATCATTAAGCTACAATTTAATATACATATCATATCAAGATTCTTAAAAATATAGTCGATATGATTTTTTGAAAATTTCTTGTTATCTTTAATAATTTTTTTCTGGAAATTTCGATAATATAATCTTATAATATTTACATCATATCATAAACTAGAATCATTAAGCTACAATTTAACACATATATCATATCAAGATTCTTCAAAATACAGTCGATATGGTTTTTTGGAAATTTCGCGTTATTTTTGATTTATAAATTTGACAATTTCTTGTTTAATTAATTTTTCCTGGAAATTTCAATAATATTATCTTATAATTTTTACATTATATCATAAACTAGAATCATTAAGCTACAATTTAACATACATATCACATAAAAATTCTTAAAAATACAGTCGATATGATTTTTTAAAAATTTTGCTCTATTTTTTATTTATAAATTTGACAATTTCTTCTTTAATATTTTTTTTTTGGAAATTTCAATAATATTATCATATAATTTTTACATCATATCATAGACTAGAATTTTTAAGCTTCAATTTAACATACATATCATATCAAGATTCTCAAAAATGCAGTCGAAATGATTTTTTTATAACTTCGCATTATTTTTGATTAAAAAATTTGACAATTTCTTCTTTAATAATTTTTTCATGGGAATTTCAATAATATTACCTTATAATTTTTACATCATATCATAAACTAGAATCATTAAGTTACAATTTAACATACATATCATATCAAGATTCTTAAAAATGCAAATAGTATAATATTTTGAAAATTTCGCATTATGTTTGATTCAAAGATTTGACAATTTCTTCTTTAATAATTTTTTTCTGACAATTTCAATAATATTACCTTATAATTTTTACATCATACCTTAAAGTAGAATCTTCAAGGTACAATTTAACATACATATCACATAAAAATTCTTAAAAATACAGTCGATATAATTTTTTAAAAATTTTGCTCTATTTTTGATTTATAAATTTGACAATTTCTTCTTTAAGAATTTTTACTGAAAATTTCAATAATATTATCATATAATTTTTACATCATATCATAAACTAGAATCTTTAAGCTTTAATTTAACATATATATCATATCATTACTTTTAAAAATATAGATGATATGATTTTTTTTTGAAAATTTGATATTTTAAATTCGTAAATTTTACAGTTTCTTCTTTAATAATTTTTTTTTGGAAATTTTATTAATATTATCATATAATTTCTATATCGTATCATAAACGAGAATCTTTAAGCTTCAATATAACATAAAAATCATATCATTACCTTTAAAAATGCAAATGATATATTTTTTTGAAAATTTAATATTTTATATTTTTGCAAATTTGACAGTTTCCTCTTTAACAATTTTTTCTGAAAATTTTATTAATGTCATCATATAATTTTTACATCATTTCATAAACTAGAATCTTTAAGCTTTAATTTAACATATATATCATATCATTATCATTAAAAATACAGATGATATAATTTTTTTAAAAATATGATATTATTTTATATTTGCAAATTTGAAGAACGGATGAAATCTTGGATTGATCACAACAATATATATAATATAATATATACAGGGTGTTTCAGGTTTTTGTAGCAGGACTTTAACACTCGATGGATCTTTTAAAATAAACTTCATATAAACACAAGTCGACTTTGTTTTGAAGATACAGGGTGTTTAATTTAAATTTTTAAATTGATTATTTAATTTAATATTACACGTGTATTTCAACCGATTCTATTCAAATTCGGTATGTAGAGGCTCTTTGTCATGACAAAGACGATTATGTCTTAATAATTAAAATAACCATAACTTTTTGGCTAAAAACGTACAAAGAATAAGAATCGAAACCTGAAACAGCCTGTATATATATATATATATATATATATTTTGAAATACGATTTTTTTTAAATTGTTAAAAATCCTAAAACAATTTTTTTTTTCAAATTGTCATTACAGATAATTTTTCAACAGGCAAAGAGATTGCATCTTACGGTGGTCGTCAAGAGACGGGTCCTCGCGAAGCCGATTTCAACGACGAAAGAATCGCTCACATCCTAAACGAAGCTTCGCAAATCCACGGCTCAAAACATAACCTCCAAACCACCGAAGACACGCACAGCAACGAAGACTCGAAATCGCCGCAAGGATGTTCGAGCCCCTTCTCGAAGGACTCGTCACAAAACCGAAAACTAAAAAAATACGAAAACGACGATATCTCCCAAGAGAAAGTCGCGCGAATTTACCAAGAAGAGATGGCCAAATTGATGGGGCGAAGAATCGAAGATTTTCGGACATCTCGCGATGCGATGTTTTTACCTCAAATTTTTGCTGGGGGACATCTTGAGCGTAGTCAGGAAGAGATGCGAGCTCTTTTGGATGCTTACCATCAATTGGCGAAGATGAATTCGTGCGGAAATCAAGGTGGGTTTGGAAATTTTGGGTTATTAGCGCTTCATCAGCAGGCGTTGGCGCAACAAAATGGGGGGGTCCAAGATTTATCATTACCAAAAGACAAAAAAATCAACGGAGATGACCAATCCAAAGAAGATAACAATACCAAAGACGATTCAAATTTACCCAATTCAAAAGTAGGAAGTGCTTTTAGTTTGGTTAAGCCAAAACTTGAAACATCTTCATCGACGACATCAAGTCCTTTGGGTAATACGATTTTACCACCGATAGGGGGAGGGGGTGATGTTGATTTTGGTACGGCAGCTTCGGCGAGTCCGCTTCAAAGAATGGCTTCGATTACGAATTCTTTAATCTCTCAACCTCCTTCGCAACCTCACCCCACCACGAATCAACGACCTTTAAAAGCGGTTCTTCCCCCGATTACTCAACAACAATTCGATATGTACAATAATCTTAACACTGAAGATATCGTGAAAAAAGTGAAAGAACAATTGAGTCAATACTCGATTTCTCAACGATTATTCGGCGAAAGTGTTTTAGGTTTAAGCCAAGGATCCGTTAGTGATTTATTAGCAAGACCTAAACCTTGGCATATGTTAACGCAAAAAGGTCGAGAACCTTTTATAAGAATGAAAATGTTTCTTGAAGATGATAACGCCGTTCATAAATTGGTGGCGAGCCAATATAAAATAGCCCCGGAGAAATTAATGCGGACCGGAGGTTATGGTGGAGCTTGTAACATCAAAGGTAATTTAAATCAAAATACTAAGATTCTCACGGACGCCACTGGAATTTTAACTCAACTCTCGAAAGACGTTCAAAACCCTCTTCTCCCGCCTAATTTTAATCATAACCTTACGAACCTCGCCCAAAATCAATTATCAAATTTAACATCGAATCAACTTTCGAATTTGAGTTCGAATCATTCGGCGACGCCGATGTTGTTGACCCCACCCGGGGTTCCCCCGCATCACGCGATTAGTTTGCAAAGTCAACAAGATCACCAACAGCAGCAGCATCAGATGAAAAAATCTTCGGTTAGTCCGCATTTGGGGATGGGACCAACTCCTGGGGGGGTTGTTCCAAATCAACAACAACAACAACCACATGGAGTTGCGATGAGGTCGTTACATCAACACATTTCGCCTAGTGTCTACGAGATGGCGGCGTTGACGCAAGATTTGGATACTCAAGTGATTACGACGAAAATTAAGGAGGCTTTGTTGGCGAATAATATTGGACAGAAGGTAAGGTTAATTTGAAAAAATCATATTTGCTGTATTTTTGGGAGTTGTGTTATGATATATATGTTAAATTGTAGCTTAAAGATTGTAGTTTATGATGTGATATAAAAACTATATGGTAATATTAATAAAATTTCGGGAAAAATAAAATTAAAGAAAAAACTGTCAAATTTGCGAATATAAAATATAAAATTTTTAAAGAATGATATCATCTGTATTTTTAATGGTAATGATATGATATATATGTTAAATTGAAGCTTGAAATTTGTAGTTTATGATATGATATAAAAACGATATGGTGATATTAATAAAATTTCGAGATAATGATTATTAAAGAAAATGCTGTAAAATTTGCAAATATAAAATTATATCAAAATTTCAAAAAATGATATGAACTGTACTTTTAAAGATAATGATATGATATATATGTTAAATT